GATCCGCCACCAACAAAGTCGATTTGGTTATGCAAGGGAATTATGGACAATTACTTATATTAAATAATTAAATTAGGGGTGAATATGTAATATTTAGTCCTACCCTGAATAATTTCCTCTGTATAATACAGAGTGTGATAAGAAACAAATAGACAAACAAACAAACAAACAAACAAATAAATAAATAAATAAATAAATAAATGAAACAAATGTAATTCATATAGCAACACAAAGTTCTACAAGAATAAATGAAGCATAAGAATCCAAATTTATTTTTATTAAAAAAACTCAAAGTTTCAAGAATGCTCAAGAATTTTGGTCATTTTATTAATGAGTAAGAACATTAATCGTTACACAACCGTCACACTCATTGCTACATGTGGTACAAGCACAGTTGCAATCGAGTTTATCTTCTTAATAATTGTTTTCTTTTCATTTCTATCTTGTAAAATTTTGTGTACTTATTTACGGTTATATATTTATTAATTTGAAATTATATTTTTATGTGTTAGCGATTTAACGATGAAAGAAAGTAATAGTTAAAATATTTATTTTCTTAATGGTTAAGTGACGACGTACCAGAATTGCACTAATGTAATATTATCGATTCTTATACCAGTTCTTCTAGAAACTTCTAGAATCAAACCAGTATGGGATTAACGAATCGAGGGGGGTGGGGCAAGTTGAAGAAGAAAAAGAATGGAAGGAGAGGGATTGAGCGAGCTAGGCTGAAGAAGAAGAAAGATCGAAGGGGAAGGGGTGACTTGGCTAAAGAAGAGGAGAGTTGGCAGGGTGGGGTGGGGGGACGGGATGAAGAACCGATATAAGAAAAGTGCACGGAAATCTTTAGTGAGGAGAAGAGACAATCGAAGAGAATTAATGTACTAAAAATGAGTTAAAAGTCCACGAGAATCCATGATTTTAGAAATCCATAAGAATGAACGGAACTTTGAATATGTCTAGACTTTTATAGACTTTTAAAAGTCTACATTGAATACACCTAGACGTTTGTAGACTTTTAAAAGTCCACATTGAATACACCTAAACTTTTAAAATCCATGGACTTTTAAAATCCATTGAATAACATTTGCCAAGGTTTTGGATATTGCGCATTACTCCCTCCGTCTCAATTTGTTTTGCAAAATTTCCTATTTTGGTTGTCCCAAAATGAGTTTCCACCTTCTATTTTAGGTATGTAAATAAGAATAAAGTGACAAATTTACCCTTACTTTTACTTTTTTCCCATTAACTTAAAGACATCTACTTTTAGAAAGATGGACAATAGTGTAAAAAACAAGCATCATTTATTGCAATTCCTTAATTCTTGTACCGGTCAAAGTTTGCAATTCAATTCGGGACGGAGGGAGTATTATATTCCGTCCTACTAATATTGAAACAGAAGGAGGTGACACAATTATTAAGAAAAATGAGTTTATGTAGTTGATATTAATCAATAAGGTAAGAAATAAAGTAAGAATGATTAAGAGCAACACAAACTTTACCAAATTTGATATGAGATAATTTTAGTGGAATCTTCCGAAAAAATAAGATGAGACAATGTTAACGGGATGTAGATAGTACTATAATAGTTAGCTGCATTGATGTTATTATTGAATGTATACTATTGTTGGTGTTAATTCCTCCCCAATCCAAGAGCTTTCATCGGATGGTTTATATTAGATGGTTGTTTAGTATGACAATGGCAATAAATGATTGAAACAAGTAGTAAAGTTAAACATTTTACATCATACAGTATTTTATTTCCAACAGTTTACATCATTTTTTACACTAAAATGGTGTAAATATCACATCATACAGTATTTTATCTTCAACAGTTTACACTATTTTCAACACCAAAAAGGAATATTCACTTTTTATTCTTTTTACTAACTTTTTACCATTCTGTTCACTAACTTTTTACCATTCTTCTATTTAAGTATCTAAAAAGAAATAATTATCTAATTATCTAATTATCTAAAAAAAAGATGGTGGAAAATTTGGTGTGCGCCATATATGACGTGAACCCCCCCCCCCCCCCCCCCCCCCCCAAATGGTGTAATGGTGTTGAAAATGGAGTGACTATTGGAACATTTTTTGGCAAATCCACCATTTTTCTGTGATATATGCTTATATGGTGTTTGTTGGAGTTGGTCTTACAAAGTTACAAGATACTCCCTCCGTCCCATAATTAACTTTGGTTTTGACTGGGCACGGGGATTAAGATAGTGGGATTTGTGTGGTGGGGAGTTGTGCAGAGGAGAGAGAAATGTGTAAAAATGATTGTGAACCACATATTCTTTATCAAAAAGGGAAAGAGGAGATAAATTTGGGACAGACTGAAAAGGAAAGAATGAAATAATTTCGGGACGGAGGGAGTAATAAGATACTGTTATCATAGCCCGAGCCTCTAACCTCAAAAGTATGCCGAGTACTATAGAAAGAGTAGAGAAATGGTAATCTATTGAATGCAAATGTTTTAACTCTTTATAATGAAATAAATGTGTCAATCCTAGATTAATCTTATCTATCTAGCTAGCCTAAAAAACTACTCCTTTCTTCTCTAAAAATTTTACCAACTTTTCTTTTTTATTGTCCCACTAACTTTGTTATTTTCCCTTTTAAATAAAGAATATGTAGTTCCATTTAATTCTTCATCCTCTGCAAAGATCCCAACTACACAGTTTTTACTGTATTAACTCGCATGACGATCATACTTGACCAAATTTTAAGAGACAGAGAGAGCATTTATTTAATCTTACGCTTAAAAAATCTAACCATGAGTTTCTTTATGGGGCTCGGGAACTCTGAGATATTAACTATAATACTCTCTCCGTCCCTTATTTAAGTTCACAATCAACATTTCACTGTCTCCAATATCAACGTTTGACCATCGATAAGTAAAAATATACACTTATAAAACTTATAATTAACTAACATTTCAATAATGTATATTAAAATGAAGCATTCAAAATTATTTTGATATTATAAAATATTACGGTTTTTGAGTAATTAACGATCAAAGTTAACAAAGTTTGACTCAAAAATCAAATTGTGAACTTAAATGTGGGACGAAGGCAGTATGCTTCATCTAACTTTATATATGTGATATTGTCTTTTTAATCAATGAATTTGTATTTCTAATTATTTCTCTCTCGTGCACACAAACTCTAATCATATAATTATTACTTTATTATTTTTGGTGTTTGTTCGGAGGAATGGAATCCTACGGAATACGAGAGTAACAAGTAACAATCAGTACTCTGTAGTAGTGAGTAAAACAACATACGGAGAATTTCTCTTTTTGCATTTCTTGTTTGGGACCTTCCCAAATGTCAGTTCTTGGAATTGGATATATTGGTCCCCAGAACCATGTGGCAAACCATTAACCCTCGATCGCACACTTACCCTCTGTTCTCTTTTGTTTTGTTTTGCTTTGCTTTGTTTCAAATTGAGCACACATTCTCGAAAATACTCCTACCATCTTCATACCTTCGTCCATATTTATAAGCACTAAAAAACATCGCGAAAATTTAAGCTTTAACTCTCGATATGTAATTTCATTCTCACACTCTTAATATTTTAAATTGCCTTTAATAATGATTTGTTCTCAATTAGTCGCGCTTTAAGCACCTCATTCAATCGTCTATTTAATTCTCACCAGGTTGGTTTCCCTAACTAAGTTCTAATATAAATTAATGGAGAAAAGGGACAAATAAGCCCACGTACTAACAAAAAAAGGTCAAATAAGCCCTTATATAGGAGGCTATGTTCGGCCGTCGTTATTTGAGACGGTTCCCGGTGGAAATTTTTGATGCAATTTTTTGAGAATATTATTCATTAAGTCTAGTTTACTCATACCAAATTTCAGTTAAAACTTCAATCGAGATAGCATTCAAATGAATTCTTGAAGATAACCGCACAGTTAAAAATGCGGTTATACTCAAGAATTTATTTGAATGCCTTCCCGATTGAATTGTTAGCTGAAATTTTGTATGAGTAAACTAGATTTAATGAATAAGATTTTCAAAAAATTTCATCAAACAATTCCACTGGGAACTGCCCCAAATAGCGACGGCCGGACAGAGCCTCCTATATAAGAGCTTATTTGACCTTCTTTGGTTAGTACGTGAGCTTATTTGCCCCTTTTCCCTAAATTAATTGTTCTATCAAATATTCTTGCATTTGTTTTTAAATCTGAACTTATGTTGAAAGAAACAAAGTAGCAATCTTACAAATAACTATCTCATAAATTATTATTGAGAAATTGCCCAATATATGAGTAAACATAAACTTAATTGCACAAATAGGAGTTAAACTTAAAACTTCCTTCAATTGGAGTAAACATAATTTTCTACCTTTAATACCCCTAACCTAATTTATTGTAAAACAGGACTTATTTGATCCTATTAAAATATATAAAAATAAAAAATATTTTAAAAAATATTAAAATAATAAAAATTAAAAAAATTAAAAAAATTAAAAACTTTATAAATATTAAATAAAAATAGATCAAATACATTAAAAAATATAAAAAAAAATTATGGAGGCCTTTCCCTCCAATCGGCGAAAAAATGTCATTTTATGTAACAACTCTCATTTTTCTTTGGAAATGCCATAAAGATGGCATTTTTAATAAATGGTGGCATATTTTCCGGTGGTTGGAGCTGGTAGTAGGGTTGGGCAATTTGGTTTACGGTTCGATTTTCTTCGGTTTCGGTTCGGTTTCGGTTTATTCGGTTTGAGAGAATTTGTACCAAACTAAAACCACTTGTGTTTCGGTTCGGTGTCGATTCGGTTTGAAGTTCGGTTTACCAAGTGAAAGTTATTATGTTGAATTTAGTTTGATTTGATTCGGTTTCTTATATTTATTACTAGTATTTTATTTGATTAAGTTCTACATTTTAGAATTAGAAAATGAAAGTCGTAGTCCATCTCATTTTCTTTTATTTATTATTTTAATAAAATATAAATGAAAAAATGGCTCCTATATTACTAATTGACTTTAGGATTCCAAAAATATGACTGATTAAAAAATTTCCACAAAAGTGACGCTGACCATTCGACTCCTGTACAATTCATCGATCTACCTCATCTCCGTTGCTTTCTTTCTTCCTCTCAAGTCATCGATCTACCTCATCTCTTTCTTTCTTCCTTTGCAATCCCTTGCTCACCTCCTGCGCCGACGACATTTTCCTTAACCGTCGATGCGCGCAGCTTCCTTGGCCGGTGACATTTTCCTTCAAAGCCGGTGCACGCAGCTTCCTTGGCCGGCGTCCATCTTCCAATCCACTATTTGACACCTTCAATCTCTAGGCGGCGGCTGAGCCCAATCGATCGACGAGGACTGTAGACGGTAGAGATCTCAGGCTAGGCTAGTGACGAACTTAGGCACCTTCCTCAAGGTTGGAGATGATATCCAAGCAACGAGCTAAGGCTTTCAAGTAGGCAACGAACCTTCCAGATCCAGATCGACATTCATAAGGTCCGTCCGATTCATCCCAGGTCCTCACCATGTCTTCCTCCATACTCGACGGATGAGGTGAAGTAGATGGATCTCTATGTGAAGGCAGCGGCGGTCGGTGTTTAGCGACGGCGATGGCTAGGTTAACATATGGTCTAAGGCTTGGATTTGGGGGCTGAGTTGGGCTCGTTGGAGCTGGGGCTGGGTAGGCTAGTTGGGGGTAGGTCAGGGGCGGGTCAAGACAGGGAGCTGGGAATGGGGGTTTGCGGTTCTGGGGCATGGGGAGGTGGAGGAGCTGATGCAGTCGTCGGCGGTCTGGCCATGGCGGTGCTGATAGGCGATGGTGTCGGTGGTGTCTGATAGGCAATTCATCCCAGGTCCTTGCCATGTCAATGTTTTGTCGGGAAAAGTCACTGTAAAATTATCCGGCGATCACTGTGATACCGATGATAAGGGCAGTTGGGGAGTGGTGGGGGAGCTGTGATCTCGGGATATGGGTGACAGGGGCAGGTGGGGTGGGGGAGTTGGGGATCGAGGATGGGGGCTGGGGAGGGCCTGGGGGATGGGGAGGTGGCTGAGGGCTAGGGTAAGGGCTGGGGAGGTGACTGGGGGTTGGGTGGCGGTCAGCGGCAGGCCGCAGCGGTCTGCGGTGATGGTCGGCGGTGGCGCTAGGGTGTGGCAGGTTGGGGACGGGTTGAAGGGGGTTGTGAGGAGCAGGGGAGGGATGGGACTGGGATACCGAAGATGGTGTGTCACTGTAGCCGGGGATAAGCAGTTACTGTGGTCGATGGGCTGTCACTATGGTGGTGGGCAATCACTGTGACCGGTGGTGGGGCAGTCACTGGGCCGGTGGGGCAGTCGTTGTGGCCGGTGGGGCAGTCACTGTGGTGACGGAGTCACTTTGACTGGACTCACTTTGCACTGCACGGGGTTAATTGTAGTGTTAGTCACATTTTTGCAATTTTCAAACAAAAGTCACTTTTTTGTCTTTTGTCTTATTTTTAGTAATATCGAGGCCAAAAGGCCAATATAAATGGAAATAAAAGATAGAAAAAGAAATAATAAAATATTATTACGTATAAATTAAAACTTCTAACATCTTTTCAATCACTAGACACAGATTCACTTCTCACAAAAATAAATTTATATATAGTTGATTATCGTTTATAATATCACATAAAGTATTCAAAGAAAATGAAATGACTCATGTAAAAAATATAAATGCAATTTGCTATTGTTATCACCAAATATCTTTTCATACAAGTAGAATACAAAACACATCAAATACAAATATGTCGTATTAGCTAATATTGTCATAATGAATGTATAAATTGTGTAAAAGTTAAAATAATATATGCAAATTTGTATTTTTTATGTCTAAATTATTTATATACTAAAGATAAAGAGTGAGGAAAAATACAAAGTATTTATATTACAAGTTGTTCGGTGTTCGGTTTACGGTTTTTCGGTTTTAAACCAAACCAAACCAAACCATTCGGTTTGAGAAAATTTCTACCAATTGGTTTGCTTAAGTAAACCTAAAACCAACCAAACCACCAATTTTCAATTCGGTTCGGTTCGGTTAAACCAAACCATTTTGCCCAGCCCTAGCTGGTAGTGCTGGGAGGTTGTTGAGGTTGCGGTAGAGGTCTGCATATTGTTTATATTTTCTTTTCATTTTTTGTTTCATTTTAATTTTTTAGTTTTTTATTTAATTTTTTTTATTTTAATATTTCTTTATTAATTTTATTTAATATGGAATATATTTTATTTATTATATATTTTCATGTTTCTATTTTTTTACAATTTTATTATAAATTAATTAACACTACTTCTTTTAAGCTTTAATTATTAATGAAAGTGATTGAGGCTTGAGCTTGAGTAGGGGTATATTTATCCAAACACTAAAGTTACTCCTATTCAAAATATGATACTCCTTTTTTTTTTGCCTATATTTTACTCCTATTTGAGGAATTCACCCATTATTATTTTATGATTTACTTTATTTTAGATATATACGTGCACCTGTTTAAAATTTTGGTTAAAGTATTTATTCTTGTACTACTTCCGTCCTGCAAAGAAGTTCTCACTTTCCTTTTATGAATCTCCTAAAAAGAAGTTCTCATTTCTATAAAAGCAAACCACTTTTAACCAAAAAGTCACAACTACCCTTAATTCTTACCCACTTTTTGTTTGATTTAACATAAAGTAAGGGTATACTTGGAAAATCAAAATATAACTCTACCTTACATAAATATGTGTGTAGGTCAAACTATGAACTTCTTTGTGGGACGGAGGGAGTAGTTATTATACTACAATAGAAATAGGTATGATGTCATCCTACTTTATATCCTTCCTCTTAATAGATATGTATGATTGATAAGTCCGTATTTAGACACGCATTTGATGCGTCTTCAGGTTGGATTTTGATGGCTTTCCTAGCTTTAAGGTGTTGCAAGTCTCAATTTTAGCTCAAATTGCGATTATCAGGCGTTGGGACGAGTTCTTTGCATTTGGAATTGAATTGAAGAAGTTAGAGACTGGCAGTCAGCGCTTGAGAGGCATTCGGGAACGATTTGAAGGCATTCGAAGAAGATTTAAGAGATTTGGAGGTCATCGGGAGGTTCACGACGAAATTCTGATGAAGAACGAGTGATTGATTGACCTCGTATGCATCCGGGAGTGTTTGGCACAAGGAAACGAAGATAAAGTGAAGAAAAAGGTCACACACGGTCGTGCCCGGCGTAAGGCACGCCGTGCGTGCCTTGTATAAAGCAAGAAAGCTACTGGAGGCCAGGCACGCCGTGCCTGAAGTGAAACGAGGAACAAAGTTACTGGAGGCCAGGCACGCCGTGCCTGGACGCGTTTAGCGGGTCTCTTCCGCAGGCACGGTCGTGCCTGGCGCCGTGCCTGGCCCCGTTTTATCCTAATTCAGCTCAAATTGCTTTGTTTCCTTTAAATACCACCCCCATAACCCTAATTAAGGGGGATGGAACTTATTTAACAGATTAAGGACGAATTTGAGAGCTTTTCAAGCCCTGGATTTTTCTATTCTTTGAGATTCTTTGTAAGTTCCTACTTTTTAATTAATGGCAATTATTTCTGTTCTTCCCAATTCTATTGATTCTTCAATTATGAGTCGGGAGTAGTTTTAATTAGGGATTTGGGATTGATGAAGGGGTTAATCACGATGTTTGGTTAGGTTCTTGATGGTGTAAATTGCATGAATGCCATTTAATTTGTGTTTGAGTAATTTAATTGATATTTTTTGTAACCTAGATGGCCACTAGAATTACAATCGCATGTAGAATAAATTAAGAGAGATCTAATTTGTTCTAGGACACATTCACACACACTTAATCGTTTGCTAAGAGATTAGTAGCGATTAAGGGGCCGTAAGCTCGTTCGTCGTGACAATAATCTAGGATCCTGTCGCATGAGAGATCAGCCTGGTCCCCTAAATTATTGTACTCTACGCCGCGAGAGCGGTAAGAACTTAGTATTGATTAGCTAGGCTCAATTAAATTAAATTCATGTAATTACGCCTGATTTGCCAGAAACCTGATTACCCCAGAATCAATTCATGTTCCCTTCGTCGTTAATTAAGAAGAACCCAGTTATTTACTTTTAGTCGTTTATTTGCAATTTTAGTTTTTTCTCAAGCAACCAAATCTCGCACGACCGCATCTGTTTAATTTATTCTTTATCGCTGATTTTAAGTTAATTCTTAATTCCCTTTTACCGTCCCTGTGGAGACGATATTCGTACTTTCACCGCTATATTACAATCTTTTTAAGTGCGAGAAAACTCACATCAGTTTTTGGCGCCGTTGCCGGAGACGGTGTCGGTCTTAAGGGTTAATTTTACTCAGCGATTCATTTTTAGTTTTTCGTAGAATTTTTGTCTGCTAACCTTGCAGGTCAGCTATGTTTATGCATACACGTTCTAAGAGGGGAGAACCGCTAATCCCTCTTAACCTTGAGATTGAAAAGCTCGCCAGACAAAACCGCAAGACTCAAAAGGAAACGAATAACATGGACCACCAGTCTTCATCTGGAACCGCAGGGATGTCGGGTAACCCTAACCCCACATCTCAGCAAGATTTCTATGTGAACACGTCACCCCAATCTTCATCACCAATTTCACCTAGAAACCCTCTAGGTTTTCAAAATTACCGCACTCCGATTTTTTCCCTAAATCAGCCTTCACCACAATTTAATCTCCCTCCATTATTTCACCTCTTTCAAAATACCCCTACTGCTCCTGAAACCAATTTTCAAAATCAAGTTTATGGGATGCAAGGAGCGGGGCAAAGTATTCCCGTTTTCCAACCGAGACAGAACCCACCTCCAATCAATCAACCTACATTCCAAAATCAGACCCAGTACCAAAATCCATACCCCAATCAGTTTCAAAACCAAACCCAAGTCCCACCTACTCAGCCACAACCAGCCCCTCAACCTAGACATCAGGAGCCTCCACCCAATCCATATATACCGCACAACAATCCACTCTATCAGCGTCAGACCATTGCAGAGTTCCTTACACCAAACGTTTCAGAGTACGATAGTATTCAAGTACCGGGAATTACTGCCAACCTTTACGAGATCAAGCCGGCGGTGATAAGCATGGTGTCCAATAATCAATTTGGAGGAGGCCCTACAGAAGACCCAGTGGCACATATTACCCGTTTCCTGAGGATGTGCCAGACTTTCAAGATACATGGGTTAACTGATGATCATGTGAGAATGATGCTTTTCCCGTTCTCACTCAGGGATGATGCATAGAGGTGGTTGGACAGCAATCCTCATCACCACCTCCAGACTTGGGACCAGCTGCATAGTGCCTTTATTAAAGAATACTTCCCTACATCAAAAGCCCTGAAATTGAAGAAGCAGCTACAAGAGTTAAAACAGGGATCTCTGGAGACTTTAGCTGAAGCATGGAAGAGATTCAAGGTGCTGAGGAGAGCCTGCCCTCAGGGCAATTTGACTGATTGTGAGGTTCTTTTTTACTTCTATAGCGGACTCGGCAATGAAGGGAAGATGATGCTTGATGCTTCAGGTGGTGGAGCCTTTCCTGATCTACCATCCGAGGTGGGGGAAGAACTAGTGGAGAAGATTGTTTCAAATAATGCATCTTGGTACAGCGACAGGAGTGCTCCTCATCAAAAGGCTCCGGGCTTATACGAGATCAGCGATAATTCTGCTCTCTCTGCACGTGTAGATACATTAGCAAGCATGATGCAGAAGCTCACAATCAGCGTGTCTGATATGGGAAAAAAGATGGATCTTGCTCTCTCGGTGCCCAGTGTTAATATGGTAGCCCCCGGCCCATTTAGTCCCTCTTGTACTATGTGTGGGGGACTCCATTCGCCACATGAATGTACTATGATGGCACACTCGGCATCCCTTGGAGTAGAGCAAGTGGATGCGATGTATCATCAGCGACAGGGTTACTACAAT